CACTGGCACAGCCAAGTGAATAGAAACAAGTCAAAACACCAAAGCAGAGACAACTCCTTCACTTTTACTGTTTTACACCTTGTAAGACCTATGAAGTACGACAGCAAAACTATCTCAAAATGCACATGGGATTTTTTTTGTGTTCACGACAGCAAATAGAAATGTTATCATACCTTTAAAAAAGAGTGGAATTTGTTATAGCTTTCATTAGACTAAATCTTTACACTCTTTCCTCATTCTGAATGGCTAGGAAGCAATTTAGAGAAATACATCAAAGATTCACTGGCCTTCCTCAAACATAAAAAAAATTCCAACTGCCAGGAAGATACATCTAGTGGTACCAAGACATACATACAGGCTGAAACTACAACAGCAAGTTTCACTGCTTCTAAGGTGATTCACATGGACAGGATATCCCAACAGTCTCACTGCAAGGCTCACTTCACAGCACTTCTCCCAGTTCAGGGGGTGAAAACTTCAGCTATTCCAACTCCTTTGGCCGGTAAAATGGGAGTAGCATTGAAGTTTGAATTGTTTAAAAGTTTCATGATTTCTCAAAGCAATAGCACTTGTGTCATACTGGAAGAGAAGGGTAAGAAAGTGAGCAAAAGATAGTCATACTCTCCAAAAAAAGGTGTGGGAAAGATGAGAACCTCAAGAACATATCCAAATGCATCATATAACTAAACAGATCTGATGAGAAACCAAACAAGATGTGAATTTCTAGTCAGTTTGAGAGATGTCTAAAAAATTTCTTTTCTGAGAATTCACATCATTCTTCTACTGATACCTGCTTCCTACAATCCAGTTAGGAATTCAGGTTATAACCTGAGGCTTTCATAAACTTTTTTTTATAGAATGAAGAATTGATTCATTAGTTCTACCAGCTATTATTACAAATAGATGCTACCATAACATATCTGTAAGTTTCTACCCATACTGTGCCACATACATTCAGTAGCTAGTGATAAATCCTGCACTGTAAAGTACTTCATAAAAAAAGTCTGATCGTTATTTGGCTTAGGAAGTACATAACAAACTTCCTTCTCCTAAAAAGAGTCGCAACTCTTATGCACATGCAACTTAATCTCTAAATTATTACTACAAATCTTGGCATATGCCTGAAAGCTGTTAACAGTTGTATCTGACAACACTATATATTTAAAAACCTGTCTATAAATACATGATAAAAAATTGTATATGACTGTATACAACACGATCTGAGATTTTGATAATATTCGTACAGTCTCTGCTCAATCAACTTGAATAAAGAACTGATGTGGAAATTAAAAAACTCAGTGTGAGTTTCTGCTATCTTCAGTTGAATTTTTATATATTATTCCCTAAGATACTCTTCAGACAAAAAAAGTTTAAAGTTTTTGTTGTATTATAACAACATTCCCAAGAGCAGCTTTAAATTTGAACACCTAGGCATTTTCGCCAAGAATTCTCCCAGTTATGACCACCCAGAAACAGGAACACAAACACAAAGCAGGTTCTGAGGAGCTGTCAACATTTTAAGTGATGGAAGTAACACATCAGCAGTTACCCAAAACAAAAAAAATTCCAAAAGACCGTCCATTTTTAGCTGAACCAATTGCTGCAAGTATCACTGACAAAAACAAGGCATACTGTAACTACAGCAGTAGCTTTGCTGCAGTGCTGACAGTGTACACACCACTATGTAATGCCTAAAAACGCAGTGGAAAAACTAACTGTGGATCTCAGGGTCAACTCTTCTACACACTGTTCATAACAGAAGGTAAGAATATTTACTTTGGGGAAGTCCCATTCACTGAGGAACAGAGAAGGGAAACTACTGGTCAAAATTCCTGATAAGTGTTATCACCTTAAAGGAAGCTGGAACTTGTTACTGTGCTGCAAGAAAGCTCTTGAATGTCACGCACAGGTTTGGCCCCTGCATCTGGGAGTGCCATAAGATCTTATGGAATTTGGGTCTCACTCTACTTAATGCTCTAAGCCTACTTCAGGCATGCTCACAGCACAAAGCTAAACACGCATATATTTGTTTTGTGAGACCAAGGCCCCTAATTCCTGAGTGAACTGAACTCTCCTAGAGATGAGGCATAAAATCACAGAGCAGTATTTACTCCACTGTATGTTGTTCATAAAACTGCACCAGCCTGAGGTCAGACAGGAACACAAGTCAGGAAAGGCTTTTATTACTACAGTTCCTATTAAAGGAACATAGACAATAACTGAACATGCTTTCCAATACACTGACATAATTTTTATATTTTCATTCAAATGGCATATTAACAAGCATAGTATGAATTTAAGTATGTTACATCAGAGGGTTAGTATTTATACATTACTTCAGCATGCAAAACAACTTAGTAAAAGTGACAATAGAGTGTAATTTACTAATGGCAAATTAATGACAGTAATTTAACAAATGCAACACCCACGTGTCACTGACTGATGAAGCCAAGCAGCATGCCTAGAAACACACATAGCTGGAGATTCAGTTCAACTAACAGAAGTTATTCTTGTTCTTTTTTATTTTAATTCTCATAGAATTGCTATACAAATCCTCAAAATTAATTTTGGCAGTTTTCAGGATAAAAAGAAATAAAAAGAAACAATTCAGCTAATTTGCAAGTTACAAAACAAGGGAGGGGACTTCAAGCATGCTTATGATACACAAGATAAATGCCAGACACCACACCTAGACAAGCTTGAGCTAGTTACCATTAGGACAAAAACAATGCTTCAAGTTATTTTTCACCATGCTGATGCTACTAAAGTATGATTTCCAGCAGGGCTACTTGCTCCAAGCATCCAGTTCTTACAAGGAATCAAGAAAGCACAAAGCATGCAACTAAATAAGGATGGCAACACTAAGTGTGATGTGGGGTGATGTATCACGGATATCACAAAATATTTAAATTGAAAAAATGAATAATGTTTCAAGTGAGTCCTTCTTTATAGGTGTTGCAGTGTTATATGATTAAAGAGTTGTTCATCCCAATAAGATATACTGAAATTTTTAACGAAGAAGTAAATTCATGACCATCTTGTGACCACATAAGGGCAGTGTATCTTGAAAATTGCTACTCACGCTCTTCACATATAGCACTCTTTATTTATTAGTGAGTAGATAAAGAGAGTGTACACCCCTTCTGGCACTCTTCCTGCACTGGTAAAAGCAACAAGCTTTGCATCATTTCAGCCTCTATAGTCTTTAATATAACAACGTCAGAGATTTGCAAAGGACAAAATACACTGTAGAAGAGCAATTAAAAAAATACTATGTGCCATAGAAAAGATCAAATTCAGAGTTACTTTGAAGAGACCTTCCTGCATCTGAATAAAACTTTCAAGGTTATTGATCCTCATCACATTTACATTTAAACAACTCACTCCTGGTAGCAAGTCAGGTTGTAATATGTTTAAGCCAGGAGACAAAAAAAGTTTCACCTTTGAGCAACAATTGGCTGCACATTCTAATAATTCCCTTTTGCTTAGCCCGAGCTGCACAATGCTCCATGACAGGGGCATCCTTTCATCACCAAGAGAAAGGTATGCACCTTATTCCTCCTCAAGCTACCTTGATGGTGTAATGAGCATCCTTCCAACAAAGCACTCCTACTGAGTAGCTTAGTACTATGGTAATGGTTACATTTAATTTCTAAAGAGAAAATATTACTATAATAGGGTTTGACAGCTTTCTGTTAAGGTTTGACCACTGGGATGAGGTAGTTTTAGAAATAGGAAATAACAGCTATGTGTCTCGAAATCAACACACCAACAAGAGGTGGCAGGCCATAAGACTAAAACCTCACATACCCTGCGAGGGTTGGACCCCAGACAATTCTGCTTTGGCTAAAAACTGGTTGAACTACAGCAGACAAGAAAACCCAACCTGCAACAAATAGTATTTACAAACGCATCAACAAGAACACAGAAACACAGGAGTTTTACATTAGCTTCTTCTTCCCCCCCCGCAAAAAAAAAAAAAGCATTTGGGGAATTTAGTATTTAGAAAGGTTAAAATAGATGTGTATATATGTGAATTATCAATTCAATGCATCCATTAAAAAAATCAACTTGCACATTAACGTTTGACCTATATAAGCAACGACCTTTAGAATAAGCAGTACTGAAAGCAGTCAGCAACTTTGAAAGCAGCTGGCAACTAACCAAGAAGATTTTTAACTTTAAGGTAAAGAACACGGGCAGCAAAATGCTCATTTTATACAGCCCAATTCATCTCGGTATCGCAGGAGAGAAAAAAACCTACTACTTGCTCCACGTTTAATATGCTTCTTAAAGGGCCTCAGCTTGGTTATTTCAGTTTAGCCGAATGTTTCTCATGCCTCGAGAGCACATGTGCCCATCCTCAAGGCTACAGGGTACCGGTGCTACAAGCCTGTACTCCAGTGGCACGGGCAGCTATCCGGCTCTACTCATCTCTTGCGGGGGGAAGGAACAAGGAAACTTATTTTAACTTCTGTTTTTCTTCATTGACTTTCTGAACAAGGAACACGAGAACTCAGAAAGAGAAACAACCATCAGCCACACGTAAATCAGTTCCTAAAGAGGAGTTTGGTCCGATTTTAGAATAAACGGCGGAGACACATGATCCAATTAAATTCTAATTATGTAAGTAGTAGGCAAGAGTATTTACACAGGCACTGATTACAGCTATTAGAGCCTAAAGTCGCCGGCTGGAGACGCTCCGCTTCCTCCCCCGCCGCCAGGCTCGTCTCATTTTTAACTTCCCCCCTTCACAGCCCTCCCTACAGACAATAGGAGACGCCGGCCCGTGAGCCCCGTCTCCAAACCCATGCCCCCTCCGGCGGACACCCGCGTGGAGGAGCCGTCGCTCTCCCCCGAGTGATGTCCCCGAGTCCCACCTCGGGGCCGAGAGCCGGGGAAAGACCCCCCCCACACTTACATCCCACCGCCCGCGCCCCCAGCCCCGCAGCGGCGGCAGAGGCAGCGAACCCCCCCCACGCCCCGCCGCCGCCCCTTACCTCCGAACAGGTGCGGCGAGAGGTGCGCGGGCAGCGAGCCGATCACCAGCCGAGGCCCGCCGGAGGAGCTGCCGGTGGAGCCGCCGCCGCCGCCGCCGCCGCCCCCCGCGGGCCGGTCCCGGCCGCCCTCCTCCGGGGTGCTGCTGACCGAGTCCTGCGAGCCGTAGGGGCCGACGCTGTGGAGGATGTTTAGGGCGGACTGCGCCGCCCGGGCGCCAGAGGCCGTGGCCCCCCCCAGGGACCTGCTCCGGGGTGCCGACCCCGCGGCACCCCCCGCCGCCGCCGCTCCTCCGGCCGCCGCCGCGCCGCCCGGAGCGGCGTGAGGCGCCGCCGCCAGGTGCGCGTACCGCCCGCCGGCGCCCGCCGAGCGCCCGCCGGTCCCGTTAGCGCCGCCGCTGCTGCTGCTGCTGGAGGAAGGCAGATCCCCGCCCGAGTACGCCCGGGTGCGGCCATTGGCGGCGGTGGGGCTGCTCTGCTTCGCGCCCATGGTCCCGCCGCCGCCTGGCGCTGCCCGGTGCCCTTCGCCGCCGCCTTCCCCGCGGCGCCCGGGGTTGGTGGCAGTCCGGCCCCGGCGGGGGCGATCCGAGGCGCGGGTCGCGCCGGGGAGGGGGGAGAGGGTTCGCCGGGGGAGGGGGACGGGTCGCTCGGTGGGTCGGTGTGGAGAGGGGAGAGCCGCCCGCCGGGATCCGGCTCAGCTGGCGGCCCCGGCGCGGCCGCTGCTGGCGGGTCCGGGGCGCCACCATGAGCTGCTCGGGACGGTGCTGGCTCCCGCCGCGCGGCCTCTTGGCCCCGCCGCCGCTGCTGCTGCTGCTGTGCCCGCCGCCGCCGCCGCGACCGCCGCCGCCATCCTCCTCCGCCGCCGCCGCTGAACCCTGTGCGGGGCACCGGCGGCACCAGCGCCGCCGAGGCCGCTCGCTCGCCCGCGGCGCGCCGTGCCCGTGCGAGGGAGGCGGGAGGGGGCGGTCGCCCGGCGCAGCCGCTCCTCTACCGTGTCGCCATGCTGGGGGCGGCACCAGCGGGCGGGGTGCGGAGCGGTTACGGCGGGCGGGGGCCACCGCCTCTCTTTCCCTCCCCGCGCCCGGCGGGAGACCGGCCCCCGGCGGCGGCGCAACGGGCCGGGCCCGCCGCCTTGCCCCGCCTCCCTCCCCGCTCCTCCCGCAAGGTGCGGGGCAGCCCCAGGTGAAGCCCCGCCTGGGCTCCGGCCGTGCCCCCCGAGGTGGGTAAGGAGGTCCCCTCGGTGGGAACCCGCTGGAGACAGGCACACAGACACGCACGCACACACGTACACGAGGGGGGCTCGCTGTCCACCTGCCCGTAGGGGCTGCCCCGCCGGGAAAGGAGCGAATGAGCAAGAGCGCGGTGCTCGAGGGCGGGAGGCGGCCCCTGGGTCCGCTCTCCCCTCGAGCCCCGGCAGGTAAAGGAGGAGCGGAGCGGTGCAGCGGGAGGCGGCTCGGCGGGGCGGACAAGGCCGGGGCGGCGGGTGCCCTCTTGCCGCCTGGTTCTCTGCTCTTGCGGCTCCAGCAGACGCCCGGATGCCCAACCTCGGCGGCCGGGGCGGCTCCTGGCTGCTCGGCTGGGCCGCTCCCCGAGTCCCGGGCTGGCGGGGCGGGCGGTGTAAGGGCCGCTTGGCCCCGTCGGGAGCTCTCCCGGGTCCGGGACTTCCCGGTTTGCTGCCAGTCTCGGCTCTCCTGGATTGAGGACATACCAGGAGACGTATGGGACGTATGGGGAAGCTGGACAAGAAGGATGAAAATCTCATGTCTCTGGTTTACAGGCGATACAGGAAAGTCCCGTAGACCTCAGTCTCTCACTCAGAGAAAAACTCATATTTTTACACAAGAATTGACTAACCTGAAAATTTTGACCCAGTGAATAATATCCATGTGGATAACAGGCTTGGTTTGCTCCTGACAAAATTATCAGAGACATAAAATTATTTTGTTCTTTAAAGGTATGTGATGTTGACTGTCATGTACATTGAATTTATATAATATGATTCCTACAATCACTCGTTCAAGGAAAACTGTTTTTATGGATTATCGTCTGTTCTAATATAAGGTATGTCACCATGAAGCACTGCTACACACCATCTCAGGTCTCTCCATCATACTGTCTCGGTAGGGACCCCAACTACCTTCCTGCCTGTGTCACAATGGCATAGAACCCAATCTGATTTACAATTAACACAATAAAACTGATCAAAACCTTAATTAATACACAAAGTATTATGTAACATTTTCTGTATTACATGTTATTATTACATGTATTATGTATATATAAGGTACAAACCGAACATTTACATGTACATGTTCCATTTACATGGAACATTACATGTACACTTATGGCATATTTGATGTTCCTCCTCAGATGCAAATAGGCACAAAGGCCTCCCTTTCCCCCTCCTTTCACCATCTCTGTTACAACTGCATGTGGTCGTGTTCTGGCATCAGTGCAGCTCACAGCTGAATTTGCAAAAAGAGGTACCATAGTTGGGGGTGGCACAAGAGATTACTAGCCCCAACTCTTCATTCCAACACCACTTTTCTGGATAGCTGAGACACTGTGAATAATCTGAACCCCATTTAGAGGATGCTGCTGTAAACTATTGCCCGTTTCAGTAAGAGGCAGTGATTCCACAGCTGTCTCATGAACAGCTTGGTCCTTTGTGTGCTGGGTGCTGGGCAGACAGCTGGGGTCGATAATCTGCCGTCCCAAGCTATGTCATCCCCACTTGTGAATTATAAGCTGCAGTCTCTCCTAGCAGTGGTAGATACTCCAAAGTACATCAATCATGAGCACTTTCTAGTTGTTTTCTACAGAAAAAAAAAATCAGTGTGAATACACTGTCTGCTCTACCACTGATTATTTTTAAAATCCTTGTCCAGCTTCAGCCAAATCTCAGAGACATTAATAGTATAGAAAATAAATGGTTATGTAGAAGATAGAGATCCTAATGTTCCCACCAAAAGGAAAGCTACCATAGGAATTCCTATCTTGCTAGATTCCAAGAATCTGCTCAGGCAAGGGATGTTGCAAACATGACTCATAATTTCTGCTGCTCACAGAATGCCTGTGGCATGTTGAGCCCTATTGGAGCAGGTTTAGAGGGAGCATGCTCAGAGTTTTATGGAGGTTTTAAAATTTCCACTACTGAGTGCTAGTAGAGCTGGTCAGCTGCTAGAATAAACAGCATTTTGAAGGTAGTACATTGCTACACACTACCACAGTACTTTCTGTATTTTTTTTACAGTGGATCTAAGAGTTGAGCAGGTATTAAATGCAGATTATATTTGACTGTGAATAACCTTTTATTCAATTTAGGATTAAAATATAAAATCTATGGGGGGAAAAAAGTTCTTAAGACATCTAGCCAGTTACTGTCTAACAGTCAGAAAATTACCTTTAACAGCACAGGATATGTCACAGAAAAAAAGTCACAACAACAGTCCAGCCTGTGTTCCTTTCTCAGAGAGCATGACTGTTTCCTGTACAATGTGATTTTGGTTTGTTTGTTGGTTTTTTTGAAGGCTTCAGTTTTTGTTTTGTATCTAGGACATATTTGCAGCTCTCACTATCAAGTGTGAGTCTAAACAAGACACATATCTCAAAGAACACCTAGATCTTCAGAAAAGCAATGTGTCATGCCTCTGAGCCAGCTTTCTCCCCTCTGTTCTCCTCGTCTCTCTTAAAAATGGTTGAATAGAGATTTTTCTGCATATCAAAATTTGCTTTATATCAGCAACAGTACAGTTAGGTTTTCAGGCTAACGTTTCTTCTAACAAATGTGTACTAGTCTTTTAGTCTTGTAGAGGCAAGTACCTGGCACTGTAACCTCCACCCCTTTGTTCATTAACACACTCCAGAAATAGTTTGCATAAAAAATTCCTAAGTTAAAAAAAGGTAACTAGTGATGAGAGGAAACAGTACAGAGAGAAAGTAGAATATCTTGGTGCTGACCATATTTCCACAGATTTCAAGGACTCAAAGGAAAGCAGATAGTTATATAAAAATTGACTTTGATAGGCCTATATGGGTGAATGCTGCTATTATTCCTGTGGAAACATATCTAGGGACTCTTATTCATACTTAAATAAGCACTACTTGTTCCTTGTCCAGGATAGTGGGAAAAAACTGGTTTAGACAGGCAAATATACTTGCTGTTCTTTGTTACAAGCTGCATACCTCCACTTCAGTTCTGGTTACACCACCTCATCTATCAGCAACTGAAAATAATGAACTTGTTTCTTGACCAGTTTCCTTGAACATACCAAGTGGCAGGTGTGCCCTAGGCATACAAAATTAGCCATCAATTCATAATATTGCACATTTTGGAAAATGTGTGCTGATAAATGGAACAGGGGTCTGCATTTTACTCAACAGTGAGCTATGCAGACAGATCAGCCCCCCTCTCCCTCCCTGCCCCCTTCTTTGGTGGCTTTTAAAGGGGCACTGAAACAAGGATTTAAGCAAGGTTTCATTTCTGACAGAAGGATCTGACCCTGAACTAATAAAGCCAGCCAGAGTTTCATTCTGTTCAGAACTGATCAGACACTCTTTTCTAAAGGAGAAAGATTTAAAAAGTAGCAGCACAGACTCATAACATGCAGCTTAATTTTATAATAGCTAGTGTGGGCTCCTAAAAGGGTTTGGCCAACTAGATTTTCTGAGCAGTTACCAAACTAGAAGTGCACAATGTGATTGGAAGAGATCAATGCAATTTTTATATTACTGTGTATTTCATCTGTTTAAAATAAAAAGTGCTGCACACCGCTTCTGCACAGATACTGAAAATAGACACTTATGATGTGTTTTGTTGCTCATAGAGAAAACAAAACAGAACATTTTGTCCCTCTGAAATAAGATGTGTAAAAGACACATGCCTTCCATCTGTAGCTAGAGTAAGCCATCCAGCAGGCGAGGGTTTTATACTTTCACATCTGTATCCTTAGGGAAATAGGTCCCATATTATCCCTCTCAGTGTGACCTACAAAGTATACATAAACTTGTTGTAGGAATCTCTTTAGATATATTTTAGTGTCAGTGAATCTCCAGCTAGTGACTGGTATTTCAGTGCAGGAGACCCTGTTATCCAGTATCTTAGATTTTTATTTGCATTGAATAACTTTTTGTATGTATTGACTTTAATCCCATGGAGATTTATGCGTATGCTTACACTGATGTATGAAAAACAGTTCTGCAACATGTTGTGATCAGTCTTCATGGAATAAAAAAAATAAGCAGCTTTCAAGCTCAAGGTTTAGGTCGTAAAATTATTCTGGAAATGTGTGGTGATGCTTACAAGGATAAGGAAGTTTATCCTTGCTTTATAAAAATTCTGTTAAAGCCATCTACCTTTTGTTTGAAGTTTATTCTTTTTTGAAATTTCTATCACACTGCAGACAGTGTGCTTGAATTTTTACACTAGAGGTACCCATAGAGGAAAGTGATGTTCACAGAAAAGATAACTTGATCTTAAAAATAAGCTGACATTTTGACTGGCCTTATTGATTGACCATTTGGTACAGAAAAAAATACTTGGAAATATCATACTTCAAGAAATGGCAACTTCTGCAGTGCACTTCATTACCACATGCTACAAAGTAGTACTTAAAGAAATATACTTCAGTCTAAGATTTTTCATAGGAAAGGGCATTCACCATAATAATTTCTAAGCTGTTCTACATTCACAGTTATATTACTGTAACCACGGAGTACCTGTGTAGGTAACCAAATGCAATACCAAATGCTATTCATATGAACTTGCCATTTTAGTACATGATCAGGCCAGTACTGTTATCAGTTCTCCCATAAACTCTATTAGTTTTGCTCGTTGGTGGGGATTTTTTGGTATTAGCTTTGAATCAGTTATCCTACTGTGTAGTTTACTGACCTTTCATGCAGCTATAGCTCCCCCAATGCTATCTTTCTTTAGAATCTACTGTGCAGCTCATTTTTCTTATATACTCAAGGAACAACAGAAGACAAATAGCTGCTTAGACTATGCCCATTTCTACACTACAGGCATTTGCACCAATTCATAAATGAAGTGACATCAATGCATGTTTATCTGGGTAAGGCGTGGGATGTGAGTCCAGGGCAGATGAGCTGACATATAAAGGTCGCATCGAGCTCATTTTTCTGTTTCTGTGATTTCTAAGAAGAGGGGGTGGAGGACAAACCAGCATATGGGAAGTATGTTTACTCTCTTATTTTCAGATCTCATGTATTGGTGCCCAGCAATGCCAGCTGAATGTGGATTCAGGAGTTAGGGGAGGACTATCAGTCACCTAAGCTCCCTTTACTTGGGCAGAGAGAAATAATGGTAGTCTTTCAAGCTATATTCCTGAACTACACTAATTTGCTTTGCAATGCGGGGTGTGACCGTGAAACCCCTCTGCAACTAGAGAGGCAGCTGGCTTTACAGAGAGCCTTATCTAGAGCAGTTTGTCATAGTTAATAAGGAAGGCACTTCAAGATGTGACATAGTTAAATCAGTTTTCAGAAACTGATTTCAAGCAAGCTCTTTTACAGGATACATCTTTCATTATTGGTACTAATTGCTCGAATGCCAGATATCTAGAGGAAGAGGTGAGTAAATGGAAAACAGTGTTACAGAAAAATAACAGTGAAATATGTAGGAATCAAAGCAGGTGGTAGAGCCATGTGACATTAGATTTGCCAAGTACAATTTGTATTCTCTCAGGTTCTGTATTATCTGCCAAATATTACCTTAACTTCTCAGAATCCAGAAGAAAAATTACCTTTGTCCTTATTTTTGCACAGTATTTGCTAATGTTTTATATTATTACTAATTATTAATTAATATTCTATAGCCTCCTACTTGCAGTCTACTACTGATAAGCCTAATAATGAGAAACAAAAACACCCTAGGTAGTTACTCATAGGAATGTTAAGCACAGCTGCTTGGGCAGTCACACGTCGCACTGACTTTGTGCAACAGAATTCAAAGGGACAGTGACAACCTTAAAGTATAATAAAAGCAAGGCATACTAATGTATGCATCAGGGTAATACTTTATTAACTAATGCATAGTGAAGAATACAAAAGCACGTAACTGAATTTTTTTGAAGGCCTAGATCACAGCTGCAACTAGACCGAGTCGGGAGGAATGTCAGAGAGCTCCGCTTTGCGTTCTCTGCCAGAAACATTTTCTGCCTCGGCTTCTGTGCATCACGCCTGGTGTAAACCAAGCATGAGGGTGGTGTAAAAGGCTCCATCTGTCGTGTTGGCTCAGATCCACTTGACAGAAGCCAGAACCCATAAGAGATGAGAAATCAGAATTGTGAACCCACTTCCTCCTCTCCCTAATTTGCCCTTCCCCAGTTTGTACTTCTCCAGGAGCAAGAGAGGCAGTGTCTTGTTCTAGTTGCTGCTTGCAAAAATGAGGGGAGTGGGGATGCTTCATGCATCTTCCTCAGTCCTCCCATAACAGCACAGGGACCACTCACAATTTAGACTGAAGGAATTAAAATTCTTAAAGAAAGAAAATGTTTTCCAAAGAATGGTAGAAACCAGTCATTTCACCACTTCAGAAAGCCAATGTACACTTCCTGGCTGGTTGCTCTGCCTCAGGCTGGTTTCAGTTCAGTATTCAGAAAATGCCAGGCAAATAGTAAATCAAGTTCAAGTTAGAATAGTCCTTGCAACAAGCTGGTGTAGCAAAACATTTCTAGATTATGCAATGTCTTTCTAGGCATTAGGAACGCAAAGACTCGGTCTTGTCCGTAGATTCTTGTTGAAATGAGAACTGTTAGTTACAGGGCTAATCATCCCCATGGAGCACCTATGCAATGCTACCTTAGCAGGGTCACAACTTATCAAGATAACTCAGAACCGCTTATGTTCTTTGTTATTTTCTAAACAAAGCTTTTGCTCTGGACTTATGGTAGCTCCTCTTTAACTCAGTCATGATATGGTCATAAAATAGATAGGGCCCTTTTACAGCCATATTGATCCCGGTCACGGACAGAATGGAGTTGTACACTTTCCACATGGAGTTCAAATAGTAAACAAAAGACCCGTTTTGTAGGAAGCACATCCTGAGGCTGGAGAAACCTGGATTCATTCTGGGTGGCAATTCTTCCTGTCTTTGACAATACAGAGCAATTTGGTATTGCAAGTCCACACTGACATCTAGTGCTGAAAAAATTGCACTAGCCAATGAGGAAACAAAGAAGAAAAAGATGTTGGATTGGAATGAAAAATCTAAAAATATAGCAAATCATCCTTCCTGCTTTATGAAAATGACAGTCTGTCGGTCTGTCCAGTGGGCAGGAGGTGCTTGGCTCCGTGAACTTGGGTGCTATGGGGACATCCCTTGGAGAAATGCACAGGGTACCAGTTCTGACAACCAGACAGCATAGCAAGCCCTGGCTGCCTCTGAAAACTGCTCTTGGGGACATGAGCAATCTGGAGCTGTGACTTATTTTAAGTTTGTTTTTTAGCCACTGCTACTGTAGGACTTGGTCCGGAGCTACATAACTAATAGACCACTGCTGCCAATGGCCTGGTAATCTTGATTTTACAAAGATTTCACAAGGATGAAATGTTTTCACCTTCCAACCTGAGAAGAGAATTTCCTGGTACATTTGGAAAATTCCACACTCTAAGGTTTTTCCAAGGAAGGGGGTAATTTGTTTAACAGTAGCTTTTAGTCCTTGATATTCTCTGACTTCCAATTTTACTAAAAAACATTCTCATCATTTTTACACACACACAAAAATTTGCACTTTATAATATTTTATTGTGCCTTTAAGGGCAGGTAAAGATTTTAAAGCAAAATATTTGTGATTTTTTAATCGTAATTTCTATCTTCCATGGGAAAGTAAGAAGTAATCATAATGTACAGAATAATGAGTGTTTTTCAGTATCTTAGCTGCCAGCACAGTTCCTCCCCTGTCACCAGGGAAATGGTTAGATTAAAACCATGTGCTCTGTGTGCTTCAGAATTGAAATATGCATGTTAGTGTTGTATAAATCATCAAAGGAGATGAGCAAAAGGACAGATCCAAAGCCACCAAGATCAATGGACTTTTTTTTTCCCCATTAAATCCCAGGAGCTTTGGATCAGGTCCCAGAGGATGTCAGAGCTCTGCCAGCCCTACTGAAAAACTGTAGTCCAAATGCTGGCATGCTATTTGGCAAGCCACAACCATAAGGTTAAGTAGAGGTTGCCAGATGTATCCTCCATGGTGTTGGTGAGTACAATTTCACAGTGGGACCCAGCACAGGGGATTTCTTGTCTCTCTGCATGGAGGCAAAGCAAGTCTTACCCTACCAGTCATTGCTATGTGTCAGGGGATCCTCTTCCTCCAGAAACCCTACGCTGTGCATTGAGGCACATGGGCAAGCTGTATCTCCTACCATTTTGTACTACCTGGGGAATAGCTCTTACCTCCTCACCTTTCACAGCATGGCAAGCAACAAATGGCAGGATTTAGCCCTTATTGCCTTGTGAGTGTGAAAGTCTCAGAAGAAAACATAGTTTTTTCCTGTCCGTAGGAAAAAACCCTTCCTCCCCTTATAGTCAGAAAGCCCAAGTATTCAGATATAATTTCTTCCTTCAATTTTTGCAATTTTTAATTTTTCTGAGAAATAATTACATACAAGTAAGTATGTTGTCACATCTAGGCTGTATTGCGCCCCACCCAATCTCTTGTAATCAACAACAGTAAGCAGATTTTAGAAATGTTTCAGACTTTTGTGTCTGGGCTGGACAGATTGGGATGTGCAGGGAGGATTGGCAGATCCAATTAGACAATAAGTAACATAAGTAGCTGTCAAAAAATAAGGATAAAGTAGGAGAAAGCATGTGGCATCTCTCACTAGATAAGCTAGAATGATTGGCATATTCAGTCAGAAACACTCGTTTTCTGATTTAATGGGGGCTTAAGACAAATTGTCTCGCAGCTGAGACCATGCAAATCAATCATTAAAATGTCAGGTTAGAGTCTGATGCCAGTTTAAATTCCATTAATATCAGTGGAATTGTACCAAATTTATCTATCCAAATTTATAGGGTGCAAAATTTGACCCATAACAATGATTAGGAGCATGCAAATCATGCAAAACTGTATCACATGTATAGAATTTCCTTGAAATAAAAAGCAATAGAATAGTGAAGCCAAGAATGTAGAATAGACTAGAGTAGAATAGAAAAATAAGGAAAAGGAACAGGAAAAGGAAAAGGAAATGGAAAAGGAGATAAAGGGGACAAAGGAAAGAGGAAATGGAAGGGGAAAGAAAATGAAACACTGAAAGAAATGCCGTGAAAAGAATGCAGGAATTTAGGAAAATTCCCTGAAGATATTTAAAAACATGGAGGGGGAAGTTCTAAATGTATATTAATAGAATTTAATTAAATCACTTCAACACTGCTGTCATCATATCATGTTCCTGTCCATCCTTTCCTGTTCAGCTTCGAAGAAGACCCAAAGGACATGCAATCTGGTGGTAGTGAATTATTCAAGAAGATGCCACTAACGTTTTAAAGGTGACTAGTTTACAGAGCATATTTGATGCAGTGATTGAACATCCAGTGCAAATATATTCAGCTGACATTAGTTCCTAAGCCTTTAGGAACAAGACTGTATGGAAATCAGTGTTTTTTTCATTATGGTACTAGGCAATAACAGATACATCCCCAGCTAACAGCACTGACTTGCTTTATGCAGAACACTATTTATTGTAATGAAATTTTGAATATATTTTGGAGACCAGTAAGTGAGGTTGAATGGTAATAATTTAGCATTGCATACTTAAGATTAAATCTCGCACCTGATCTTTTGCCTTGTGCTCAGGAGTGTTGTTTAGTGAAGGGAAAACTCCTGTTCATACAAAACCAGCATGAGTCAGGGCTACTTTTCAACAAGGGTTGGGGGACCACAACCCAAATCAAAGGGCCCCTATTGGCCCTTTTAGTGACTCAGTGACTCAGGATTTCAACAAACACCCAGTATGGGGTAAAGGAGTAGCTTTGGTAAAGCAGTAGACTGGTTTTACAAACAGTTGCTGCCCACAAGACAGGAGTGACAGGGTTTTGGCAGTGTACAAACCCATGCTGCAGCAGATCAAGCTGGGGTGGCTGACACAACTACCAACCTTGCCTGATTGTGCTGCCCTTATCTTAGAGGCTGGCATCCTTGCCTGGAGCTGATAGGAGGACACAGACAGCTTGATGTGTTCAAGTAAAGCAAAAAATATGTCAGTCAGGAACAGTGGCAGTTCAGAAGCAGCTGTGTGACCCTTCAACACCCTCCTGTGTGAGGCTAGAAGGGGTGAAAGAGCCCTGCTTTATTCTGTTGCCACATCCAAGTTAATATCCTGATACTTCAAAATTTGGCTATGAACAGCTTCTAATTCAAGCTGACTGTCCTCAGCAACAAAGAAAAATGTAAATGCACACTGATGGTTATGCAGTGCGTTGTTTTAGACAATGATGGTGGAGGCAAAGAATGCTTTAGAAAATTCACAAATGCATAATAATAAAAGCCCTTGAACTGAAGAAGCTGACGAGCCTTTTTTAATCTTTTTTTAACTCCCTCGCTATATTTTGAATAATTCTCGCCTTTATCTGAAAATGGTTCTTTCCAGAATCCTTTCAGATTTCAGACTTCATTTAAAATCACATTTGATGATCTGATAGTTTGTTCTGTCTGATAATATTACAGTGCCATTTTCATCAGCTGCAATCCACCTGATCTGATGTGCCTCAACTAATAGTGCTCAATCCAGGCCTTTGATTCAGGTCCCTATTTGCAGTGTAGACTTAAGGAGAAATTTTAATGCACTTCCATTTTTATGAAGGGCATTTTGCAAAGAGAAAAGGAAAAAGCCAAACTGAATAAGGATGCTAAAAATTATTAAAAATATGTAGTTAAATCAAAAATTATTTACATGAAGAATATCTTCACAGTGGAAAAAACTGGAAAGCGGGTATATTTTCCCAGTGGAAGAAACAGGAAAGAGGGTACAATGCTTGGAGAGCAGCAGCATTGGTCAGAAGAAAACCTGTCCTTGATTTTCATCTATCTGGCTTGATTATTTGGACAACTTATAAGTCACTTTGACTCTAGTTCATTCAGTTCCTCTCTTTCTACTCCCTACCTCTTTCTCATTTAGTCAGGATAAAACATATTACATTCTGTGTTACATTAACACATAACATTCTGTGTTAGTAAGCACAGAAGGTGAATGCTTTTTGTACTAGATCCCTATGATAAGAAAAGCTTTGGAAATATAGAACTTTCAGGAAAGCCATGGTATCCAAGTTATGGAAATACCAGTCACAAAAAAATTGCCACTAATGCTCGCCTGCTAAGCAGAGCCATGAAGCACAGAACGTGCAATAAGTATTTCTGAAAAAATACCTTGTAAGTTCATATACTGCAGGATATATCTGAAAAAATGAGTCATAGAAATACTTCATCATGTAGAGATTGTAGTGGCCTGAGAAGCCACTTCTCAGTTCACCTGGCAATTTATAGATATGACCTATACTGGAAGAAAATAAATAAATATATTTTCCAATCAGCAGCTGACATAAACCAAACATGTTTACTGTTAACGCTGCTGTCACAATTAATCACAAAAGCCCAGAAATCAGATTGTGCAGAACCTAATATTTTACATTAATATCACTGTGTGGTATGTATTAGGGCTTTCTCAGATAGGAAATTAATTCTTATTAAAATTTCTTGTGGGCGTTAAAACTCAAGTAATGAGACAAGAATGAGATGGGAGTCCAGAGGCAAATGGGGTGGAGAGCTCCTTAATATGTAAAACAGCTCCTTAATAAACAGTAGAAGAAAGCTCATGAGAAAGGAGCAATATGCCAGATGGAAACAGCTTTGCCTGTTTCCTGAATCGAGTCTTTCACCCCATTTTAGAGAAGTAGTGTGAAACACTGTCAAGGTTGATCAGACCCACAGACACGCAGTACAGAATTTGGTCTGTGTCTCTATTACTGCTTGCTAACTGAACCGACTGCCAACTCAGACCACTGGTATAAGTTTAATTATCATCCCAGTTGTTTTCATTATAAACTGCTGTTCCTTGGGGGTTTATCACTTCAGTTTTTAAGGCCTTTCTGTGAGTGGTTTGTTCACAGAGGTAACAGAACTAGATTGGTTTAGAAACAGATTTAGCCAGACTGGTGCTGAAATTGTGGTCAAACTAGCTTGACATACCTAGCTTCACCTCTTTCTGTAACACACATGCTAAAAATCCTGCCTTTATATTTATCAGAGTCAAACATAAGTGGAACCATGTTAATAGTCTTTGCAGAAAAATCTCACTAAGATGCCTGTTTGAGGGGTGTAGGGTTAATCTGGGATCTCTTCATGAGGCTACATCCTGGCACATGGCCAATGTGCAGGTCAATTGGCCAATATTTGCAAGAAATCCTGAATTATATTCAAAATTTTGGTTCTCACAGAGCTCAGAAGATCCTTTCCCTGTCCTCCTCTTCCAGATCTGGAATATGCCAGTCTCCCAGTTCTACTGGCTAATAAAGATCTGAAAGCATAGTTGCTACTGAGAGGCTTACATGTCTTTCACATACCAGCATATGCATATGCCTGAAAAGTGAGAACCTAGAAGGATATAAAGGGTTTTCAAAAAACATGGTGTTTTTTAAAAGTTTTTTTTCCACCTCAAAAATCAAAGAGGTTATAGAAAGGGTGATTAGTTCCCCTTCTTCTCCACAGCAGACTGTGCTTTTGAAGTCCTTCCAGAGTACTTGTCATCACAGTGCATATGACCTAACTGTTCAGGTCTTTAGAGGGCTACAATATATCATTCTGGAAGCTGTAATTATATGGTTACAAATCCAGCATGTTGTGTGGCTGTTTGTGTAGGTAAATTTTATATAATGCTTCCCAGAAAATGTTTTGGTAGTGGGAAGAAAGAATTTGGAATTGACAAACCAGGTTTTCCTAGGCCAAATTGTTCAGGTTTATCCCCTCAGGATCCATCCCCACAGCAGGTTTGATTCAAGTGAGCAGCCTACCTAGCCAGAGCATGTGCAGCCACAGCTGCATTCGAGTGCCATCACCCACTCAAATGGAGGAGGAGGAGAGGAGGACAGGCAAAGAGAGGTGGAAGAACTGTACAAGCAATTTGGTTATCATTTCTGTTTGGTGTCAGAACTGCTGTGGTTATATCCCAAAGGTCTCAGCATTATACTAACCCAAAATATACTCTGTCACTTGTTTCAAATGAACCGCAGGCCATAACTAGAAACCCCTCATTTTAAATGGTTTTCCTGCAAAATGTCCCTCCTCAGGTTGCCAGTGTGACTGTTGACAGCAGAAGGATTTTGGGTTATGACCCAGCCTAGTGCAGTGTAAAGGAAACACACAGATGAACTGGTCTGTATTTGTGCACACATCTGGGCGTAGCAACCCAGCTAGCACCCCGAGTGACTCCTCAGGGATGGCTGGCCTTTGAGCCACAAGTACACAGATGTTGCCATTTAACGGACATCTCTCGATATTTAGCCAAAGCCAGGATAACAGACAAATGGGGGATCAACTCCAGTTGCCTATCCTCATTTGTCTTGTCACGGCTCTCTGGCTTGCTGATATGTTACCCTGCTGATATGCCCACCATGCCGCAGGCAATGCCCCTGTCTCGGGAGACATCTATAAACCATTTGTGGATCCAAAGAGAATCCGCTTTAGCATATAGGGATATGCGTTATCCAACCTAGCCAGGATGAATTTTAACTGGTGCATAAGCGCTGTGTAATCATTGTTTTGTATGCTATTTACGCATGTTTTGTAAAGATACCGCCCTCTACATAGCTGGGGTGTCCCTCCATTTGTATGGTAATGAATCAGTATTTAGGGGGCCTTTTCTGCTCTGCTTCTTACCCAGCCCCGGTCCCTCTGATAGCTGAGCAAGACCCACAACAGCAGTTTCGCTAATGAAGGTAGTCGAGATGAGGACAAAGAGCCCAGCCATACCTATTCAGGGAGAAATCTGCATCTGAAAGTGCCTGCTGGAAATGGGCGAGATGCCAAACAGCAGGGAGAAGGGGGACGCTCTGGAATATAAAGGAGGGCATACTATTATGTTTTCCTGTCTTTAAGTCACTGGTTATTTGTACAAAAAAAAAAAAAAAAAAGGAAATAAACAAGGGGAACCGTTTGATTTGGCAGCAGCACGTTTTATATCCATATCCCAGCAAATGCAACACCCCTTCTCTCCCACAGACCTGCCTGCTGCTGTCACTCTTCTTCTAATATTGCAAGCATTCTCCTGTTCCACCTCTCCACAACCATTCTCCGGTTCCATCTCTCCGTAACAGAGCCTCTACCAACAGCTGATGAATGTGCTGGATTTGCAGTTGCCCCAGGATGCAGCAGTCAAGGCTGTGCTATCTGAGCAGGTAGGTGACTTAAGCTCTCATTTTCAGGAATCACTGCCTTTTGGGGAGCGTAGGTTACGCAGCTGAACACATGATGCCTACACTTCAGGTCACAGCAGTCACCATTGCTCAAGAGCCGTTGCTGTTACAGTTCAAAGGGGTTTTGTTTTACTGTTTCTGAGCATGCTGCCATGCTGCTTTTCCAGTTCTGCTTCCACCCGTTCCTATGGTGCCTAGGTCTTTCCCATTATAATCTCTGTATGTCCTGCTGCCTCCAAGAACCCCGGCAGCCTTTACGTCCCAATGTTTAATAGTATCCCCTGCTGAACATAGGTCCAAACACACAACTCGTGCCAAAAGAGAAAGTGTGAATCATCTCAGCAGCAGACTATGGCAGCAGAAAGTTGATCAGTACTCACATTCACAGGGGACAAACTGCAGCAGCAGCCTGGATGACAGGTAGAAATGACATGCCCAGCCAGCATCAGTGGATACAGTAATGCTGGAGAAGAAGCCTGTGATCTCCCTCCCCTACTTCTTTTATGGCAGCTAGGCTGGTTAATAGCCAGTAACTCTCTTCAGGAAAAAGAAAAAAAAAAAAAAAAAGATTATGTGTAGGCCCAGAGTGAAAGATTTCAACTGGAAAAGACCATCTTCCCCCAGCAACCCATTATGCTTAGCTCTAAACCCGATGTTCAGCATGGTGGCAGGAAAGCAAATTTGATAACAGCATGTAAATCATGTGCCAGTGGACCTGGGCTGAGAACCTGCTATCTAAATCTCAGCTTCCCCTGTGCCAGAAGCATCCCAGCTGAGACTCATGCAGGATTAATCTGCAAAGACTAAGAAAGAGAAGGAGCAATGATTGACATGGTAATACAGCATCTCCCATGCAAAAATGCCCTCAACCGCCTCCAGCATTTTCATAACCAAATACACACCTTGTTTTGCACTATAAAGAGCATGGGAATGAAATGTGATAATGAGACATAAAGAGATGCATGTATGAGACAAGCTGTGGACAGGCAGTGAACATAAAAAGAGACATGTACATGTGCACATATGGGAGAAGTAGCAGATAGGCACTTTCTTATAATCTAGCAACAATAATCATGACAATAACTACGTTCTGTTATAATTTTCCACTCTCCATGCACCTTTGCATCTCTGGAGAAAAGAAGCAAATGATCAGGCTTTCTATTCAGATTCTTGTAACTAGGCTCCAGTGGTCCCTGTCAAAAATACCCTGTCAAATATCCACTTAAATCATCAGGCAAGTTTGCTTCAGCTGTCTTCCTGCCACTTGTATTCTGTACTTTTTTCTTTATTAACAAGGAAGATGCTTCATGGAAAGCCTACAACAATGCATTTTACAGAGACTATTGGAAAATATCAGTTCAGAATTCACTTTCCACAATCCCTGACACATCCAGTGCTAAAAGCTGCTTTCACTTCATCAGGAATCAGAACCAGTGCCAGACCTGCTTCTGTTTCTTACGCTTGCAAAATTAATACCAGTAAGCTTCAGCTCAGAGAGGACTTTAAGAGATTGTCTGGCAAATATTTTCAAATGGTAAATAATAAGGGGAAAATAATACCGTCTGGACAGTGCAGCAGCAGGAAAAGAGGCAATATTTGTTCACTAAATTCTCTTCTAATTATTGACATACTGCAACTAATCAACATTAGAAGCAAAAAGAAGCTGTAATCTATGAACATCCTCCTCTTTTTGGACTGTTCCCAGTACTAATTGCAGCAGAGGAGGATTCTGGACTGAAATCTTCTGGTTTTTCACTTAGAGGAACTCAAAGGCTGCACAAAATGTTACAGGTTTTCTGACTTTCTTGTAGCAACACTTTTGCCCTGCCATTTTGTGAGGCTATGGATCCACAGCAACAACCTTTTATCTGAAAGCTTGTTGTAAACTGAATCAACAGTAGCAGATGCAGAAACAGATTTCCCTTGGGAAATAAAATCAAGTCAGTCTGACAGCCATAGTGGCAAGTACTAGCAATGTTCATTGCCCTTGTAAATCTTGGGGATAAACACCCCTAAAATGTCAATGGCTGATGGTGGAAATTGAGTAGAGTGTAGGTGTCGTAATACACAGTATACATTCCTGTGCTCTCTCTCTCTGTGCCAAAATGGCAATGAATGATCATTTGTATTGGACAGGCTGTAATTGCCTACACTGTGTCATGGAGCTCCTGGGCAGGCAGTGCTGGGGTAGGTGAAGATGCTTCTACATGAACATGTCATGATAATCAGTGTTCATTGATTCTTTTACTCCCTTATATTTGTTGCTGTCCAGGTGAATGCTTCCTCGTAGTGAAGTAGAAATTGTTTATACATAGTGCAGTACCAAGATCTGTGTAAACATTAAAATATGGTTATGATTCACTCTTGATGATGGAAGCAAACCCATAGCATGAGAGAAGGAAATTGTTCTGTCTCTCTCCACCATGCCATGGACATCTCTAGAACAGGTTTGGGGGATTTCTAGTCTGGCTTTGCTTCCCATTCTAAAGAAACATTTACTTTGCTTCCCATGCTGCAGTATTGCAGGAGAAGTTGTGCTGGCTGCACACCCCCTTTGGGCTGGGACATGTGCCTGCCTTGTGACACTAAAGTCACCCACCCTCTAGACAAATTTTTCCTCTCAACCATCCTTCCAGATACCATCTTTTTGCCCTTTTCGCCTTAGGGGGCAAGGAAATTGCTGGTGAGACATCAACAAAGAGAAGAATTTCACTGGCGAAACCAACAACCTGCTTTTCATTGTTACTTTTTACTCCTGACTGGATCATCTTGCAGTTGTTTCTATGACAACAGAAAAATTATTTTTTAACATAAATCAAATTTGTCAGACTTATACTTGCGCATACCACTTGCTGAAGGCTAGGAAAGCAATTCTGAGACCAAAAAGCAGACCAACTGACCCACTCTTTGAAAATGGAGCTATCAAGGATCTAAAATAGAAAAGATTCCTTGTTTTCCTACGTAAATTTGTTCTGAGTATTGAATTGTTGTTGTTCTTTTATATTTTGAGAAAGAAAAGCATGAGAAGAGGGTATATAATGAATTAGTACACTTACATTTTAAATACAGACACTTTGGGACAAATCAACTGTTTCTAAGAAAAGAAGTGTGAATATTCAGCACATAAACAACATAGGAAAAGGAAGAAAATAGAAGATTCATATGAGCTCCTCTTTGGAAAATGTAAAGGGACTTCTGAAAATTGCGTTCTGTGCCTGTTTGATGCATGGGTAACAATAATAGTTCTTTGTAGCCTGGTCCCCAGAGTGCAAAATTATGTTTACCCTTTGCTTTCACATTGTGTCTCATCTTGTCCTCTGGTATCTTTTCATTAGACCCTAAAAATATAGTTAGCATTGCTAGATTGGAACAAATGTTTTGCAGGCAGTTCATCCCTATGGCATGTGTTTCTACTGCAGAGCAATGAGCCTTCTAAAGAAGTTTGAATTTTTTTTACAGCCAGAATGATGAATGGTAGCATCACATACCTATTTAATCTAGAATGATCATAATTTTTAATTATGAAAAAACCCTTTCAGAAGTTTAGTGCAGTTTGTAGTATTGATAAAGTTATTAGTTCTAGGCAGTGGGTTACTCTTGCTAATTTAAAATTGGCGATTAAGAGGCTATTTTAGTTAAGATGTCTCTGACCAAGGGGGCATCCTATTCATCCTGTGGAAAAGAACAAACTCCACCCCTGGGTATGGAGACTGGGCTACAGTATGAGTATAGGTGAGCATTCTGTCCACAGTACAACTCTTATTTGTCTCAAAGAGAAAGTTTCAAAGAATTAACAAAGGCAAATCCTCATCTTTTGCTACAGAAGGTAATGTACTATTTATTATCCTTTCACTCTGTTAGTATTTGATTCAGCAGAACTCAGTAGGAGTGATTCTTCTTCTCTTCCTTCCCATCTTCCTTTCTCTGTTTCTGCTCTACTTCCTTCTTGGCATCTCTCCTTTCTTCATCCTGCTCCTTCCAGCAATTCCAAACCCAGCCTCAACTGCATTTTGGCTTCATTTCCATTCCTCTCCATCTGCTAAAATGCATTCATGTATTATGTATGAAATGTTGACATTTATAATGTTGTCAATAAGGTTTTGAGTCAAAGCCTGAATAGAAACAAGCAATTTGGGCAGCATTTATGTCTCATCAGTATCGCTTCAGACTATTTTTGGACTGAAGAAAGGAAACACTGCACAGTTTGGTCCGACTAGGAAGATTTCCTGAAAAACCATGAAGGATAAGAGCATTTTTTTTACTTTAATTGAAGATTAAATGCCAAAGAGTGTGGTGATTCCATGTGGTTAACTCATGAAGCAAGGTGACCCAGTGTTTCAAGAATACTGTATCGAAGCAAACATACATCACTGCAGTAAAGTGAACATGTACGTCTTTTGAAATATCCACATACACACATATGCATGACTGGGCATGGGATTTTGTTCTTAAAGCTGTAATTCTGCAGCAGTTTAGTATGGCATCTAAGTGGAGATGACTTCCTTAGATGCTCTCTCCATTCTTCTTTTCACTGATATTTGTGCTATCAGGGATAAACACAAATATCAGGGATATAGGGAGCCAGTTAAGGGAGAGAAACTAGCAGCTCATTTCATGAGGGGGACAGAGGGGAAAGAAGCATTTCCTTCCAATTTAGCTCCCCAAACCAACTCACTGAAGGATTAGGTATGTTTTTGCCAGTGTGAGGGAGAGACCAAAAATCCAGTCAGCAGCGTAGTGAGGCAAAAGGGCAAGTAGTCAAGGGGTAACAGCAACCTTGGTCAGGTAGACTCTGGCAACTCCAGCTTCAAGTGGGGATTTTGAAAATCTCAGGCATGACTTTGCTGTATCCATAAAAAAACCGAGTTCTGTCAAACTTGCTTCAAAGTATTCTGGCATTTAGGAATGATTAAATTTACAGCCTGTTTCTTGTCTTTGATATATTGATGTATTGATTGCTACTCTTCTTCCAAGATGTTTGC